AGAAGAAGAAGAAGAAGAAGAAGAAGAAGAAGAAGAAGAAGAAGAAGAAGAAGAAGAAACAAAACAAAACAAAACAAAACAAAACACAAATGAGGCTATTATCCATACAGATGACCACTCACATGTGAGATACTTGTGGAGGATTTGTGCTATCAAATGTAGAAATTACACTCTAATCATGATTACATGCACAGCAACAATACTAGGATTAAATACAAATTATGGTCAAAGAATAAATGAAATAGTTACCATGGGTGCTATCATGGGGAAAGAGTAACCTGTAATTACTTCAACAACTGTATCCGGTAAGCAAGAATTGTATCTTAATAAACAGGATGGCAAAGAGTGAATAATAAAGCTAATGGTGAAAATCTCTTCCATGCTCTCATCCAGCATGAATGATTGCTGGCTTTAAGATAACTGGATGAATTTCCGCTCACCGTGCATGCGTTTTCATTAGGCAGGGGTAATTGTATAACTCTCTTGTCTCTTCCTAGGCTGGCAAAGCTTGGAAAATATAACGGTGCATTGCTGGTGCACTGGTTCATTAAACTTGAAGAATATTTAACTCAGAATACAGTTGGCTTTTGAAACCTGAATACTAAACATAATTGCAGCAGCAAAGTACTGATAGCAGAAAGCGTCCAATGCAGAATGGTGTTCATCATCATCATCAGCAACAATGATTCTTGTTGCACCTGGAGAGAACTGCCCACCGTGGAGAAACACTCAAATCGGGGGGGGGGGGGGAATCATCAAAACTATATATGAAAGTGAGATGGCATCCGAAGGAACTTTTAAGAGCCAAACAGCAATTTTGTTTTGTTTTTTAATTTGGATGTGCATGTAATGTAGCCCAAATCCCTCTATGATAAGCTAATTATTTACAAAAGGCTCTATTCTTGAAATGAAAACATGCACCTTTTTCAAAGTGCGCAGGATTGGCCCTATAAAGCTTGAGAGTGCTTGTGAGTCAGACGAAAGGAATAGAAATCACCTGCAACAAAAGAATTGGAACAAACCAACCAAAAAGATGAACATGCAAAGCAGAAACACCAGCAGAAAATCAGAACCTGAATTGCTTGTTTTTTCCCCATTTCAAGTCTCTCAGTTCAAATTATTTCAGACATGATGCCGCAGACACAACAGCCCTGGAAAAGAAACGACCTCTGCTAACACTTTAGAGCAATGTGTGTGCTTGTATAGGTTTGAATATGTAAAAAGACTCTCCTGTATACATTTGGCCAAACAATGAAAGCAATAAGCAAAGAGAAAGAGGGAAATATATTTTCCCTTTAGGTCCTATTCCAAAGAGGCCCTTATATTCTCTGTCCTGTGGGCCACATCCTGACAAACCATTTTGTGTTGCAGTGCATCGAAGAAACCCATCTTTGTGAGCACAATCTGGTTTGTCAGCTGCCAGGCCCTCATAAGCTATATCTTGGGCTTACAGGGATGATGATGAATTGCGTAATCACAAACGCTACAGAAGGAATGGGCAATCAACATCTCGCTGGCTTTCCTGAAAATGCTCTGTTGAAATTTGGTGACAAACGTCCGGGGGAAGGGGGGACTTTTGTTGGTGTTGTTTTTAATAGAAAGCACAATCAAATCAGTATGTGAAATACCAAAAAGGTACAATACATCTAAAGGGGGGGGGGGCTTTTACTCTCAAAAAATGTAGAAATGCTAGCTCTATGCGATACTGTGATGTCACAGACCTCCTGTTTCATCATGGTTATCCAGAGTAGTGGAACCATGCCTGCAATGCAGTCACAACCAACCTGTGAAACCGTCAATGCAGTGACTGACACAGGAACAGTATTACTGAAGTTAACACTTGCACAAGGATGACAATCACGTTTTTGCAATTGGGAAAATCTTTGCGCTAGGGGAATGGCACTGGAAACAATCTTAGATGGTTACAATTTATATTTTAACAAGGCAAAGGGACAACACAAGACCAGGCGTCGGAAACAAAGCTATAACATGTCTAGATTTTTCAAGTAAACTGACTTTAAAATTACAAACAAGACCTGTTATCAGCTTCCTGAAGGAATGATTCACAGATATCATCTTATATTCCCCATACAATCCTGCCCGTGGAAGTACAAAGAAAATGTGCAGAGAGCTGGTTGCTTGCATTGAGAGATCTGTAGCCACTTCTGTAAAGACAGATCCGGTACCCGTTTTGCATTTCCATATGTCAAAGGGCTTCCTTCAAAATACTGCTTTGAAAGCACAGTATTCTGCTTAATCATTAACATGGGTAGAAAACCTCCTAAAATTCAGCCAGATTTCAAATTCATTTCAGCACACATTTTCTTATCCCAAGAATGAGTTCAGTTACACTGCCTCCTTTTTTCAGATTCCATCAATGGATGAAGTATTGTAGGTGTCTTAATTTAATGTATATGATCTGCAAGCAGGGGCCATGCTAATCCCCAGCTAATCTGCATGACAGTAAATGGCAGCATCTGCACCACTTCAGGATACAAACTATATACAAATGTCCTGAAACCTGCAAAGAACAGGACTTTTCGTAACTCTGTAACTGTGCTTCTGTTATCTGAGTAGCCCACCTTGAAAAGGAATCAACGTAGCCTGGTTGGACCTCACTTTCTCCATTAGCAGTAGGTAGCACCTGAAATGGAACACCACTTACTTTACCTGAGAAACCTTTTGAGTAAAGAAGATAAAGGCCTTTCCCGTTCAAAGTTGTATGCTAACTTGATAAAAGCCATAGTATGGACAAAATACTTTTTTCTCTCTCTCTCTCTCTCCCCTCATTCTGAGTCACATAACGCAGGATCTATTGTTCTGGGAATTCATCAAATATAGTGTTACTTAGAAGGTCAGAATCCCATTGAATGCAGTAGGATTCACTCACTAGCAACTACATGTAGGACTGTGGTCTTAGGATTTTTACACTTTTCTCCATTTTCATTTTTTAGATGTTCAGTATGCATGTAAGGGGACAGCATAAAGACTGCTTTCAGCTGCTCACAGGAACAGGGTCTTTGATTCTGATACAGCATTTGAATTCCACAGCCACATTTTCAAGGAGCCCTAGAGTTTCTTCACATTAATGCAGCATGCTTTCTTACAATACTAACATTCCTCTCACAAAATCTGGGATATTAAAACATCTGCAGTAGGAAAAAAGTGGATGTCGGGAGGAAAACGGGGGAGCACTGGGAAACTTGGTGACTCTGAAACATTTTGAGACTTCCTGTACGATGTCAGTCTAGATGCTCAAATTCCTACCAAGTGTTGATAGGAAGTACCCCCATGGGACTTGAATGAAGAGGTAGTACTTAGATTTTATAGAATTCTAAGGACATTAGGACAATCTTCTCTCCCTGACAGCTCCCAGAGGTCCTAATTTTCAGTCAACCACAGACAACACAACCAAAGGCCAGCCATGATGGCTGGGGATTACAGGATATTTGGAAACAACCACATAAAAGCAATAAATTGCATTAACCAAATGTTGGCTTCCATGTTTTGTATCACCCAAGCCTTAGCAATACATTCATAAATAAAACTTAGAACAGGAAACAAATCTTTTTCATCATCCTGAAACCACCATGAATCACCACATGAACACAAAATGGTGAGTCCAAATAAATATATGCACAACAGTAGCAATGGTGTGATCCTTTCCTTTGTCTTTTTCTCCACTGGTCTCTTTCCCCTCTATCTTTTCTTCATGGATACTTGCCTGACATTGTTATTGCCTTTGATCCTTCATGCATTTCAACTGCTGTCAGAAGGGCGCACTGTGCATTTTGGTCCTATGCATTAGATCTGCCTCCTTCTCCAGCCGCCACCAAACCAAGCCTGAACCCGTGTCAGCGTGGAGGGGGGTGGAGCTCGAAAAACGTCACTCACCAGAGTTGGGATCTGAGTTGCCATCTGCTTCGGTCCTCTTGTCCGGGGAAGCCTGATCGTAGAATTCGTCCTGCGGCTGAACCAGAGGGAGAGGGTGTGAGACCAGCATTCCACTACCCACAGGCTCATGATCTCCTAGGCCACTGTCACTGCAGCTTTCCTGCGAACCATCAGGGAGGTGAAACGTAACACGGCGCTGAGACTACAAAGAAGAGCACAGGACAAGCTGGATTAGTGCTCTTCTTTTCTCTCTTACCCCTCCCTCTGTTTTGATAGATTGTTATATTTATGGTCTTTTGTAAAGTCAGAGGCATGTTCCTCCTCCCATCATGACACTTCTTTCACAAGTCCAAGATAACTAAGGATGGTATCATTTCCTTTGCTAGTGCAGGTCCTTGTATTCATTCATTCATTCATTCATTCATTCATTCATTCATTCATTCATTCATTCATTCATTCATTC